TGAGTGTGGCACCTTTGTGAATATCATCCTATTGAGAGGCCCCCTTAATTCCCACACCATCCTGCTGGTTTCTACCTCCTGTGGTGAGGGTGAGGCTGGGGTCTAAAAAATTGAGAGCAAATGGGAAGGAAATAACCCTGAGATAGCGGGCCATTAGGCAAAGCACCTGACCCATCCAGCGTGGTTGATTTCCCATGGGATCTCGGGCCTTTTGCAAGCTTGAATTACTAACGAGCACCCCAATGGGCCACCCGTCCAGCCATGAGTGTAATCCCAGTTCATCCACCCCTCTGCTGACCCGGTGGGACCCAGGGCAACGGCAGACGAGCCAGGTGCCATGATGTGATGCAGGTGGGCAGGCAGGCTCTGGACCGAGGCAGCCTGGCGCAGGGGGCGCTGTTGGCCCAGCAGGGCTAGCCAGGCGTTATTGCGTGCAGCTCTCACTGTCACTGTCCGTGACGGCCATTTAATGTCACTGAGCCTTTGGAAAAAGGAGGAGTGGAGGGAAGAGGCAAAGGCAGGAGAAACAAAATAAGTTTCATAGCAAGACTTCAAAAAATCCAAGTGTTTGAAAAGATATTGCGAAGGTCCTGACCCTGGGGCCTAGTAATAATTAATGTCGTTTTTTAACATTAGTTTAAAATCTTGCTTGGCATTGACTTGTATTGACATAACCTTCAAACACGTGGTATCTATAGAACGTGTGAAGTGCAATTAACAAGTTTTGCTTGAAAAAGTTTGTGTTTGGTTTGGTTTTTGTTGCAAAACTAGGGCTAAGAAGATAGCGGATGAAGAGCATATTTGGCACTGCATGCTTTACGAGTTCCAATTAGGAAGAAAAGCAAGTGAAGCTGCAAAAAACATCTGTAGTGCTCTTGGTCAAGATGCAGTTAGCGCCAGAAAATGCCAGCGTTGGTTTGAGAAATTTCGCGAGGGAAATTTTTCGTTAGATGACAAGAGTGGTCGAGGCTGTGTGTCCAATTTTGATCAAGAAGCTCTTCAAGCTCTTTTGGTGCAAAATCCTCAAATTACCCAACAAGAGCTTGCGACAACTTTAAATTGTTCACAAAAAACAATTTCCAATCAATTGCGTGCACTTGGCAAAGTCCAAAAGTTTGGAAAATGGGTTCCTCATGAGTTGACCGACAACAACCGTAATCAAAGAGTCACAATTTGCAGTTCGCTCCTCTCTTGTCAAAACCGTTTGCCGTTTTTAGAGCAAATTGTTAGCGGAGATGAAAAATGGGTGCTGTATGTTAATTTGAAAAGGCGGCCTCAATGGTTGGACAAAAATGAGGCTCTGCAGCCCACGCCAAAACCTGACTTGCATGCGAAAAAAGTGATGTTGTGTGTTTGGTGGAATTTTAAAGGAATTCTTCATTATGAACTTTTACCATCTAACCAAGCCATTACAAGTGCAGTGTATAGTGCCCAATTGGAAAGGTTAGCCCAAGCTTTAAGAGAAAAAGAACCCGCGCTGATTAATCGGAAGGGCGTAATTCTTCACCACAATAACGCACGACCGCATACTGCAAGAATCACTGCTGAAAAACTGTGCCAGTTGGAATGGGAAGTTCTCCCTCAACCTGCATATTCTCCTGATATTGCCCCTTCTGATTACCATTTGTTTCGTTCTTTGCAAAACTGTCTTCTTGGAAAAAAATTTAATGATGAAGAATGCCTCAAAAATGCATTGACCAAATTTTTTGCATCAAAATCACAAGAATTTTACAACAGAGGGATTAACATTCTTCCTGAGCATTGGGCACAAGTAGTAGTAGAAAACAACGGCAACTATATTGTTGATTAAATTTTGTTGTATTGTTTAAATAAATTCAATTTAAAAAAAGTATTAGAAAACGACATTAATTATTACTAGATCTAATACTTTGCATGCAGATAAGTCATGTCCTTTGCTTTAAAAAAAAAAAAAAAAAAATGCCTCATGAAGTGGCCATGCTCCGCTCAGGAGAGTCCACACTGGACAGGCCTTGGTGCTGCAATCAGGGCCATTTTGGGTAACTGTATGAGATTTCAGCCTCTCTTCTTCCAGCTCTGAGAGACAGGGCCTGCAGCACCGCAGCCAGGGCTGAAGGAAGGGCTAACAGAGCAGGAACGCAGGGGGCACGCCTTTGCCTCCAGGCACCTGCCCCCAAAGGAGTTCCTCTGCTGTGTAACCTCCGTGCGACCTAGGCTCCCAGGCGCCCACTTTTCCCTCATGTTTCAGTGCAGATAAAGAATCTGGGGGCAGCCACAAGTGAACCTCCAGGTTCCGTGCTTGGCACAGTGTAGGGGACTCTCCCCTTTCTGTTCACTAAATAAGTCGCAAGATGTCATCCCATCCTACTCACAGATTCCTTGGGCCCCTCGATGCCAATAGGTATGCTTGGCACCCAGTGATTACAACATAAGCAGAGTTGGGGCCCACCCTGAAGGGGACCCAGACCTTCTGAATCAGAGCTAAGGGGACTCATGAAGGGGCAGGACCAGGCACAAGGACACACAGGTGGAGGAACAAGGGCTGTGCTGCAGAGAGCAGGTGTGAGAGTGCTGAACGAACACCCTCACCCACTACCTGCCCCAGGATACCCTTGGACAGTGAGTATGTTCAAGAGAAAAGAATTGAGCTGGGAAAGAGTATAAGAGGTTTTTGAGAAGGAAAATCTCCTGAGAAGTTGGGTTTAAGTCCTTATTGTCATTGAAATAATTAATTGTATCAATACTTTTTTTATTATATAACTAGTTGCTCAGTGCACAAAATTTGTGTGGGAGGTTTGGGGGGTCCCCTCAGCCCAGTCTGCACCCTCTCCAATCTGGGACCCATACCTGGATCAGGCCTAAACCGGCAGTCGGACATCCCTCACAATTCAGGACTGCTGTCTCCTAACTGCTCACCTGCCTGCCTGATTGCCCCTAACCACTATTCCTGCCAGCCTGTTAGCCCTCAACTGCCCCCCCACCATCCTGATCACCCCCAACTGCTCCTCATGCCAGCCCGCTTGCCCCCAAACTGCCTCCCCTTTGGCCTGATTGCCCCCAACTGCCCCCCACCAGCCTAATCACCCCCAACTGCCCTCCTGCAAGCTTGATCACCCCCAACTGCACCCTCCTACCAGCCTGCTTGCCCTCAACTGCCCCCCTGCCAGCCTGATCACCCCCAACTTCCCCCCATGCCAGCTTGCTAGCCTCCAACTGTGCCCCCTGCCAGCCTGCTTGACCCCAACTGCCTCCCTGCCAGCCTAATTGCCTCCAACTGACTCCCACTGATGGCCTACTCACCCACAACTTGCTCCTCCACCCACCTAATCACTGCCAACAACCCCCCCCCCCCATTCTGGTCTGATCATCCACAATTGTCGTCCCTTCTGGGCGCCTAACTGCCTCTACCTTAGCTCCCCCCCCACCATGGCTTTGTCCAGAAGAACTTTTGGAAGGTCTCCTGGAAGGTTTCCCAGTATAATTAGCATATTACCCTTTTATTAATATAGATAAAGTCCTAGTGCATGTGTTGGGCAATCACTAGCCAGCTGTGGGGCAATCACTAGCCAGCTGCAGTGTTGCCAGCCAGTGGCCTGGGCCTTTCTCTTTTCTTTATTTTATTTTTTATTTTTTGGTTTGCCCTGAAGGGTGTCCCAGATCAGAGTGGGCTGCCCTTGGGGGGTAGGTGGCCTGTGCGAGGTTTGCAGGCCAGCCACAGCCCCCTGGGATGAGGGTCCTGCTGGGGGTGTGTGGCCAGCCTAGGTGAGGAGATGAGGGCTGTTTTCAGGCTTGCCACACCCCCTTCAGGGTGGGGATCCCTGCTGGGGTACCTGGTCAGCCTGGGTTAGGGGCTGAGGGCCATTTGCAGACCCCTCCTTTGGAGGCAGGCCTGAGTAACCCAAGCCTCCTGTGCACATATGCCAATTCCATGGCCACTGCTCACAGGCCCCTCTTTCAGCAGCAGGCCAGGGCAGGTGGGAAGCTTGGGTTGCCCCTGACAACAGAGGAAGCCAAACTTCCTTCATTGCTGCAGGCGATCCAAGTCTCCTGCTCATTCTGGCCTGCTCTATAGTTGCCGCCCGCAGGCCTCTCCTTCAGTGGCCAGCCCAGGCAGGAGGGAAGCTTGGCTTCCTCCATCACCAGGGGTGACCCAAGACTCCCGCCCACTTCGGCTGGCTCCGTGGCCACCACCATCTTTGTCCCACTAATTTGCATATTCCCTCCTGATTGCCTGTGGGAATAGCAGAGTGACAGTCAATTACCATATTGCTCTTTTATTAGTTAGGACTAGAGGCCCAGTGCATGGAAATTCATGAACTCAGGGGGCATCCCTCAGCCTTGCCTACACCCTCTTACAATCCAGGACCCTCAGGTAGGGTCCCTAGAACTGGCCTGAGATCAGGGCCTATTGGGGCTTTCCCTCCCCAGGCTGTAGACAGCTGGCTCCACCCCTACTGCTGCCACAGCTTGCCATCTGCGCAGTGCTCTCTCCCCTCTTACCCTCCCCCACCTCCACCAGTCATCTCCCTCTTCAGGAGACAGGTGTGGGGTGTGATGGCTTGGCTGGCCTGAGTCTCCCTCTGTGGGGCAATCACTAGCCAGCTGCAGTGTTGCCAGCCAGTGACCTGGGCCTTTCTCTTTTCTTTCTTTTTTTTTTTTTTTTTTTTTTTTTTTTTTTTTAAGAGTAATGTTTTCTGAGCAATACAGAACTAAGTACTTTGAAGGGTTTACCAGGATGGAAATGCACCTCACCCCACCCCTGCTACCCCAAATACCCAGAGACTACATACTTAGAAGTTACATGCAAGGGCCATACTGCTGAATATTTATTCATAACAAACAAAACATAGCATATTTAGTAGTATAATGTATCACATCAAGTGATTATAGAAATCCATTTATATATTGCTTGTATAAAGTCTTTAAAAAAAAAAAAAAAAAACAGCAACGTTTTTTAAAAAAGAAAGTATAAAAAACATGTGCAGTTGAAAGCCCTGCCAGGACAGTCAGTCTGCAAACATTCAGTGAGAATGTGATTTGGAAGGGTACCCATGCCTCGTGCCCACAGCAACTGCAGTAGGACTGGTGACGGTGGGCTCTGACTGCCACTCCAGGCAGGACTGAGCTGGGCCATGGTAGGTGGGTACAGCAGGGCCTGGCACTGTGTCCTTCTCCATCCTTGAATCAGAGTCAGGGTCAGAGCTGGGAGCAGGCAGATTTCAGTTTCACTCTGAGTTCCATACTCAGCCTAATTTTGGTTGCAACTCATGGCTTTTCCTGGCTGCTCAGAGGTCCTTGGGGTGGCTTCCCTGGTGGAGAGGCTGGAGAAGTGCCCACGGCTGCCTGGTTGGGCATCTCCCTGGCCCAGAGCCTCTGTCCTGCCTCCTGCAGGCCTAGCCCCAGGCAGAACAGGCACCCGTTAGGACTACTTTGGTCTCAGCGTTTGTTCCTGGGTTTCATCAGGTTGGGTTTCTTCCCCTGGTGTGCCTGACTCGAGTGTCAAAAAACAAAACAAACAAAAAAAAACAACCCTGGTTAATGTTGACTGTGCTGAGCCTCATTGAAGAGTTTTTCATGCAGCAAGCTCTCTGGGACCCTCTTCCTCCTCTTCCTCCTCCCAGCCCAGGTCTCTTCTTCTCAGGCTGCTCCAGCAGTGGGTTGGCTTCTGAGTGGGGGGGGTCTTAATGCTGTCGGTCCTGGTGATGCAGGTAGGATGATGCTGATTGAGCATCAGGATGAGCTTCTTCCTCTCCTGCCTCAGCTCCTCCACCTGAGTTTTCAGCTCTGCATTCATGAGCTCCAGCCACTGAAATTCCTGCTGCAGAAACTCCTTCCGCTCCTTCTTCTTGTTCTGGCATCGGGCTGCCATCACTTTGTTCTTTTCCCAGCACCTTTTCCTCCGCTCCTCTTCCTTATCTAGCTCACTTTTCACAGATTGAGGCCTCTTGCCCAGTTTCACCTCCAGGAAGTGCACAGGGGCAATCATGGCCCCAATGTTGTGGATGTCAGCGTATTTCAGCTCCTCTGCAGTCAGGGGGCCGAGCCCTGACAGAGAGTCCGCAGTCACGGAAGGGTCCAGGATCTGCCCAGGCATCATAGCAGGAGGAGTGGCAGTCCACCCTGCAGAAGCTACGGGCAGAAGCTGCAACCCTGGGGCCTGGGCCATGCTGCAGGCACCATGCCCGTTCAGGAGCTGCCATGGCACCAGCCCCCACCCCCCACCCCACCCCATAGCATCTACCTCTGCCAGTGCCTCCCATTGTAGCCACCCAGTGTCCCTCCCACAGGCTGTGGCCTCGGTCTCCTTCTTAAAGGCAATTGATTGCAGGGCTCTGCCTGCCTCCTTCATCGCCCCCAACCACTTGTCTGCCTACCTGATCACCCCTAGCCACTTGCTTCCCTACCTTATAGCCCCAGCTGCTCGCCTGCCTACCTGATTGCCCCTAACTGCTTGCTGCAGGAAGCGGGGCGTGGGGGCAGCCTGGCAAGGGGGTGTGGTGGTTCTGGTCTGTGGTCCTTCTGGTCTCTATGATCGCTGGGTTTTTATTATATAGGATCTTCACAACAACCTTGTGAGGTTGGTACTTTTAGGGAATATTACTTGCCCATGTTACAGATAAGGCAAAGACTAGAGAAAAACTCTAAACTGTTCAGGTCCACTCAGCTTGTCTCTGGGGTTTGTGTCTGAACTCGAAATCTGGATTCCCCGTTCCTCTATTTACCCCCAAAGGCTTCGTATCATTCCCTGATACAGGTAATGAGCACCCAGTGTGGGCAACGGGCTCTGTTCCAGGCACCAGAGATGCAGCAAACAATACCAAAAAGTAAGGCTCTACCCTCAGACTCCCTGCATGAGTCCCCTTGGTTTCATCTGCACCACACCCCTCCCATACCCCCCCAGCACAGGGTGGGCACTGCTTCAGGAGTGGACCCAGGGGGTATAAATAAACCCTACAAATGCAGCAACGGAAATCCCCCCAGCAAAGGGGCTGCCAACAAACCCCTAGGCCTTGGTCAGTAGTGTTTTGAGGACTTGGGTGCCCTGTGCCTCCTCTAGGTACCATGAGGGGGCACCCCTGACTGCTCTGGTGGTAGGAGCGGCCCCCTTTGCTCTCCCTGTTGCTCTGCATGTATGGGTCATCTACTCTGAGGGCAGGGAAAGGGGCCAGAGCTCAACCAATCTCGACTTCTCTCAGTTCAGGCAGAACTAGACTCCCAGACAAAGAATGCACCAACATCTAAGTTCAGGGCAAGTGTGCAAGAACTTCACAGGCTGAGACATGCACAGGCTTTTCCGTGCAAAATGCCATTCAAGTAATCGTCCCATAGATCCTCACACATTCTGCACAAGTGTGTGCAAATGTTCAGTTCAGCCTTGTTTATATTCATTTAAAAATGCAAGCTCATGCATGCCTATGAATGAGGACTCATCAAATACAGCATGGTCCAGCCAGTGTGGAACTGCCTGTTCCTTACATAGATAAAAGTGGCAACAGACAGTGCTGTGAAAGATCTCCCAGCCAGTCACAGTGTGCTTGGTACAGTCCTATACTTAAAACCACATAAACAAGGAAAATCCCATCGGAGAAGGGGCTGGTGAACCTGACCCTCCAGGCAAAACCTGTCCAGACAATGCCAGAACGAGAGAATGGGAACAAGGGGATGGAAATGAGGGGGTGGGAGGGAGACAGTAACTTCTGCTCCACAAGCTCGACTCCCCATAGGCAGGGCTGAAATCGGGGTCCCCACTACAGCCTGCCTCAGTGGTTCTTACCTGTAAAACTCAGACAGCTTGAGTTTTACAGGGGGTCTGGAAGGGGGGTCCAGCGGCCCGGCAGCCTCAGCTTTGGCCCAGCCCCTGGAGCCTCAGCGACGCCCCCTCCCCCGCATGCTCTGGGTGTGTGGCCCATCCGTGTGGCCAGGACATTGGCCACTTCATTGGTAAGACCCTGCCAGCTCTGCGTGCCTCACTGCCGTTTAGGAAAAAGGAAGGTGGAATGAAATTTAGAAATTGGGAAGAGATTGGGTTGAATAACAGTGATAACATAACATCCATAAAATTGGACTGCGTTTTAAGAACCCAGCTAGGACTTCACACATATTCTTTCTTTTGATCCTCACAACAATCTTTAAGATATTATAATTATCTTCATTTTAGAAATGATGGAACTGAGGCTCAGAGAAAGTAAGTAATTGTCTGAGGTCATCCCGCTTGTAATCAGTGAGATGGGAGCTGTCTGGCTTCTCTCTCTCACCTTCTTACCTACGCACTACACACACACTCACACACACACACACACTCAAACACACATGCTCACATACACAAACACAGACACACTCACACACAGTCACACACACACACACTCGCGCGCGCGCGCACACACACACACACACACACACTCTCACACACATTCACATACACTCTTACACACTCACACACACTCTTACACACACACGCTGACATACACTCGGTCTTATAACACTCACACACACACTTACACACACTTGTACACACTCACACACACTCATACATACACACTCACATACATACAAACTCACTCTCACACGCTCCAGCACTCACATACACACTCACTCTTACACATACTCACACACTCGCACACACACATACACACACACACATACATTCCTACTCCCAATGTTTGGAGCCAGGTGTGGTCCAGGGCGACTCCACTCCCCAAGCCGGCCTCAGGATGAGCTGGACGCCGTGTCTGATGTCAGCGCAGTGAGCACCCCTCTCCAGGCCGGAGATCCTGGAAGACCTCCAGTGCCAAGTTTGCTCCAGAGATGGTGGCTTCCTCCCTTCCTCCATCCCCTTCCCCAAAGTGAGGTTCCTGCCCATCACTGCCTCCAACCCTGCAGCCTCTCCCCTTTCCAGAGTACCTAGTCCTCTCTTCTCCCTATACCTGTGCTTTTCAATCCTTCCCCTTCGTCTTTCCTTGACCTTGAACTCGGCTTCGATGAGCCTGTGTCCAGCCTCACTCACTGCTGTGGAAGAGCCCACTTCCTCTGCATTTTCTCAAGCACGGCCCACCCAGTCTTGGCACCGGCAGCTTAGTGAGGGGCTGTGTGGCACCTGTTCGCTCACACACCACTGTCATTACCACAGGGAAAGGGAGCAGAGCTCCCAGGTGGGCTCCGGGAAGGGTCTTATGATGTCCCAAGGATGGTGGGAAGAGGCCTAGAGGTCAAGGACTATGTTTAGCTTGGAAAAGGGCAGGTTGGACCCTTTCCAAGCTAAGAAGAGAGAGGGAAGGGAGTACACCAGAGGATGGAGAGGAGGGGCATCTGCACGGAAAAAGTTTAATTATACCCCAGAGATTAGGAGAAGGTGCAGTAGTGTGTGTGTGTGTGTGTGTGTGTGTGTGTGTGTGAGAGAGAGAGAGAGAGAGAGAGAGAGAGAGAGAGAGAGAGAGAGAGAGAAAGAGAGAGAGAGAGAGAGAGAGAGAGAGAGAGAGAGAGAGAGAGAGAGAGCGCGCGCGCAGAGGGTAAAAAAATATTGTTTCCAAAACTAGTCCTGAATAAAAGAGGTGTCTGCAAGAGAAAATACCTGTTGATTCATTAGAAAAATGGGACCAGAGCAGCAGGAACGATGCAGAGTGGAGAATGTGAGAACTTCTTGTGGACTAAACTCTAAGCTGCACAAGACAGGACTGAAGCTGCCCTCCCACAGCTTTACCTGCACCACAGACTCCGATGAGTCTGCCTTCCTGCAGCTTACCTGCACCACAGGCTCCTCCTCGGTCCCTGTGTCTCAATGAGAACCAGGGTGGTCAGGGTGTGGGCTGGTCCCTCTGGCAGTGCTACAGGGGGCACCAGGCACGAAGGGAGGAATCTCCCTTCTTGACTTGGTGAGAGCAATTCCAGAGGTGGCGTGGGAGGACCAGCAGGAGGGTGGGGAAGGCAGTTCTGTGCTCAGGAATAGAGCCTAGGAAGAGCACTCAAATGTTTGCCAGGTCAAGACAGGCCTTTGTTCTCACCATCACATGCTTGCTGGATGCCATGATGTGCTGGACACTGGGCTGGGTGGGCATTCTGGAGATGAATCAAGGTCCTGCCCTGTCAGGAAGGGGGAGGGCTTCCTGGGATGCAGGAAGGAGCAATGATCTAAGCAGTGACAGACAGGGAGGCTGGTGCCGAGATGCAGGAGGAGCACACGCCTTTGAGAGGGGATATGTGCACATCTGGGGGAGAGGAAGGACTAGTGATGGCAGCACTGGCCCAGGGAGGTCAGGGTCAGAGTGGGCCGGAGCCCTCAGGGCCACAGCCTCTCCCTGTCAGAGCCTAGCCCTCCTTCATTTTCACCAAATCTTCCAGACCAGCAGGGGGCAGCGCCTACGGTCTTGAGGGACCTGGGCCTAAGCCTATGACTACATAGTCACACACACACACAGCCCAGGCCTATCTTCCTTCTGGCAGTGTCTCCTAGGCCAGTGAATGCTGCCAGCGAAAGGTCCCTCCAGTACACACATACCAAACACACAGCTTCACACACAGCAGCACACACACCGGACACACACACACCACCCATATACACACACACACACCATACACACACCACACACACACCACACATACCACACACAGTCACACACACACACACAGCCATACATATACCATACACATAGCAGCACACACATCGGACACACACACCACACAAACCACACATGCCACATACATACACACACACCATACACACAGCTGCACACACTCCATACACACAGCCACATACACAGCCATACACATGCCATACACACAGCTACACACACAGCACACAGCCATACACACACACAGCCATACACACACACCATACACACACACTGTACACACAGCCAGACACACACACAGCCAGACACACACACCAGACACACACACAACCGCTTAGCAGAGCCAGCTCTCCACTCTGATTTTGGCCAAGGTCACACAGCACGTCCCCCTCTGAGCCTGAGGAGCAGCAGATGCCTTTGATCAGCTCGCCCCAGGCTTGTGGAGGAGGAACCGGCCCCAGGGAGCTGCCTTCGCTGGGACCCCAGGGCCTGCATTCCTCTCTGAAAGTCACCTTCCCTTCCCCGGCCTTTCCCCAAATCAACCCCGACATCTCTTTAAATCGAACCAGCACAATGGAAAGGGGCTGTGGGTCTTGTTTACCAATCCTGGCATCTAATTAAAATTAGCTGATGGTTC